CAATTTGAGGCAGATTATCCATTGGCAAAGTATTAGTATATTCAGGCATTTTCGAATCGATCGGCATGTTGAAATCAGTTGATGTAATAGTATCCGTTAGCGAGTTATTTCCATGTAATACCTTATCTTGTTCTGCTAAAATCGTAGACTGAAAAGAAAAAACATAGAAAATAACATTAATTAAAAAATTAAATCATATTCAAAAGAAAACAAAGACTTACTATTTCATCACCAGATGAAAGCATATTGGTTTCAACCTCTTCAAGAATATCTTCGGAAACATTATCCAAAACAGCTCGTGCTTGATTCAATGCATTATAAATACTTCCATTCGAATATCTCATATCGGATGTTGAGGGTTCATCATTTAATGAAGATTGAAAAGCACGAATTGCAGAATCGTGGGATTAGAAATTGTTGTCGTCAACGATTTCTGTGAGCGAGACTTTTTCGGTAAATTCTGATTCGAATCACCACAACCAGAATTATGTATGGATGAATTAAGTGTTTTTCTTTTACCCACAACGCGTAGAGACTTCTTCACACATTTAGACGAGTCAACCACATCTTTATTATTTTTTGAATTAGCGACTTTGGTTGAAGTGGTATTTTTACCATCTGATGAATGCGATTGATCATCAGTACTGGGTGTGGAATCGTTCGTCAAATCAACATTGGTAATAACAGTATCGCGCGTTGCATCGATAGTTTCTCCGAAAGCGGATCGTGGGAACGCGTAACTTAACGGTGGATCTGCCACATAAGTATGCATATGAGGACATAATTCTCGCATACGTGCACCTCCTCGAATACTGACCATTTCAATCGGAATAATAGGATCAGTCAATTCCCGATAAATCATAGTCATATGAGCAAAATGGCGATGTGGCTCAACGTTATTATCAGAATTTGTGAAGGGAGGAATGCATGAGCTGAGTAGCTCAAGCGGGTCGCGTCGTAATATACTGAACAAAGTGATCACCAAATAATTATCGGTCACAGTACCAATTTGTACACCACAGTGACAATAACAGAATCTTCCAATGACATGGACGTTTCTAAAGTCGGTTAATGCACCTCGAATCGCTGAAAAGAAAAATATATAAGAATGAAAAATTCAACAATAATATTAATAAATAATAGTGGGAGAGGAATAGTATGACTATTCATTTAATAAAACACTTACTATGCACACGTTGCAGAGTCGATGACATATCGCGCATTTGAAATACTGCACTACATGCGATACAGACATACACAAAAAAGGGAATAATTCCGAAGAATTCCACGCGACCAACAATTCGAGAGCGTTTATCAATTCTATTTAAAAAGAATAAATTTATCACGATAAATTTAGCACATTTCATTCACAATAATTGAATTAATCAATACTTACCGTTTTTTGGGAGCCATAACAACAATGATGTTACACAAAGGCACAGACACAAAATTTTAAATAAAATCGAGAAATTCAATAGATGAAACAAAATTGGTATAGTTTCAACTAAACCCGAAATCATAATGAGGATCATTATCGTCTTTCGCCTAATATCCAGCATTTTTTGGAATAAATTTTATTACCGTAGTCGTAGACACATAAAATTTGGGAGACGAAACCACTTGAGATTCTCAAATTATCAACGACAAAATATAAACACTGGTAAACAATGTGAAGCTGCAATGCATCATATACAAATGTCATTTGTTAACGTGATCGTCGTGATACACACGAACATTGTAATTCTAACTGTAAATCAGCGCCATCTATTGATCAAAACAATAACACCCTATTTTACATTAGATTCATATTGGAAAATGAATATTACACATTAACGTCGATAATCAAATAATTATAATGACATATACATGTTTTCTGCGAATTCTTTCCAGAAATGACATTATTTACTATTCTGGCGATTTTCATCATTGCTTCAATCGTGAATGGCAAAGTCATCGTGGAAGTGGTCAAATCCAACGATGCTATGAGTGAAAGTAATTATGTTCAGGACGTTGATGATCCAAATCCAATAAAAAGATCACTTATGTTTACACCAAATTTAAACAATGCAATCCAGAATATACCAATATTATTGACACAACACGTAATCACTAATATTGTATTTTATGTATTGATTACAATCATTATATGCATTTATTTTATTGTTAAAGTCACCCGGTTTTGTTGTTGTGACTGCAAAGAATAAAAACAAAATTTGGCAAAATTGTTGTTATACTATCAGACAATAATTTAAGTTGGCATCACTCGGGATAATCATTGAATCATTAATCACTTATTTGAATAGAAAAAAAAAATAAATAACATAGAAAAGATTTGTATGATTAACAAACAAAAAGAAAAAATGATATAAATATATAAAACCCCATTTCTTGATCCATCGAGAAAAAACAAAAAGAATAATACTATAATCATTAGAATAGTAGATGTGAACATTTAATAAAAAATTTGGGATTTAAAGTTAAAGGGGAAAGGTATGTAGTAGGAACAATAAAAATGTAATTAATCATAAGTGTTCCGATCTACATTAGCGAATGAATCATCATTATCGCTTTTCCTTTGATGTGGAAATCGATGATTCATCGATTTGGTATGCGGCTAAATCTCTTTGATCTTTTATGATAGAGATTTAGTATAAGTAAGACCAACTGTAATGTGCGAGACACTTCTGTCCAGATGTTCTAGCTGCGAAGTCTTAAATAAAGAGCTTAAACCCCAAATATTCATCGTAGTATCATTTTGTCTACTACACAATTGTAATAGGTTATCGTAATTATATTACGATTTCTAGGTTCAGCTTTTCTCATCTCAATTTCAACTTCAACACCAAGAAATGTTGTATTAATAGCAGCGTGGTTATGACCACTATTGGGGTTTTCACTATGATAAAGAATGCCATTGGTGGTTGAAACTTTGAGGGGCATTGAACTTACTATGAATTAGAACTTGACAATATATATCAAGAAATCATTTAAAATCAGAAGCTGGATTGGCTAGCACATAATGTCGTGTTTACTGTAATCCTTCGATAGTATCATGAAAATTTTTACAGTAAAAGAAATTTAGTCAACACAGCGAAATTTATATATACTATATATAAAAATATATAGAATATATTTCAGACATATACACGCAAACCAGGAGTTGATACCGAAAAATTCACATGAATATTCCATGTTTTAAACCACTTTTCACAAATCTTCATGGCTATTGATATATCGAGAAAAAAGACCTGCTAAATAATATAAATTTACGTGCGTCGTATATTCTCAATGCGCCACAGTTCGCACAATACCGTGAGCCACATCACAAATGAAATTTTGTATTTCATTTTGTGAAATGTGGTTATTTATAGAATATCCGTTCACTCGGCTGTAGATCGTTAGACCACTTACCCGACGAAAACAAAATTTGTCTACGAACAGAAGACACAGAAAGGGAAATTATGACAATCTTTCCACATTTGTGTACGTTATAAAACGGACCGAGTATAGAAATGATGGTACACATTTTTCGAATTCAACACATATGTATATATAAAAAAGAATCTTCGAGTTTCCCGAAGCTCATGCGCCACCGACGAACATAAATTCTATCTTTTAGTGATTCGATCGTGCTAGCGATAGGACCGATATATTTGCTTCATTTATTCAACCTGAATATTTCGCAAAAGTTTCTTTTACATTTACAAATTTTCAAATTTGCGAAGTGTGATTGGAGACGTATCGAGACTGATTTTCCGATAATTTTTTTAAACGCAAATCTGTTGATTAATTTTTTTCCTCATAAATTTTCGTCAAATATTTAGAAATATATTTTCCATGCCATGCGCGATAAACTTGGTCAATTCTTTTGTCCAGAAAAAAGCGTATGCAAAATTGATTTGTCAAATGTTGCTACACAAGGTAAACTATACAATAAGAAAATTAAAAAGAAAAATCACGTAGAAAATAAGGAGCAGTGACAAAAACAACTCAAATAGGAGAATTGAAGTACTGAATTATTTATAAGTATCCTTGTTTGTATTGCCTTCTGTATGCGCTCAATTAAAAACCAGAAAAGACACACTTCCCATCACTTATCGTTGCAATAATAAGAAATCCGGCTGATAAGTACAGTAGAGTTTCGATTATCCGTCAGGCACCAGACCGGCATGTTGACGGATAATCGAAAAAGACGGAAAATCTAATTTTTGTTTAAATAACAGAATATGGTAGAGAAGTAATGAAATATTCATACGGTTGCGATAATATGTAGTATTTATTGAAAAAAATCATATGTAAACTAAAAAAACGTTGCGATTTATGAAAAATCTCTAAAGTCAAATAAAAACAAACACAGTAGATCGTATAGAAATTTGTCTTTTTGCTTTTCAAAGCAATAAATTGAATAGACGAAATAAAATTTCAATATATATAATTTGAATATTTTTTCCAATATGAACGTCGTCAATTCACTTTGAACCAAAAACGAAAAAAATATGCGTCGGCGAACGATGACGGTTAACAGAAGTGACGGTTAATAGAGTGACGGATAATCGAGACTCTACTGTATATGATATTTTCAGTTATGGGTCCATAACATTTATTTCCAAACGATATCAAATGTTTAGTGAATACGAAGAAACAATCAAGTGTATAAAAAGTGGATTTTGAACAAATTGCTCTGACATGCGCAATGTGACCATAAATATAAACAATTACTTTGTTTATGTGTCGATCATGCTTTAAACGAAATGAAAAAAATCGTATTGTTACTAATAAAGCGCACATAGATAAAAGAAAATGAGGCATAAAAAATCGAATTTGTTGCATTACAAAGACACACGAAGCCATTCCAAGCTAGTTGCTGTGCGATTTGAAATACACAGTACGGTTCGGTTCAGTTCAGTTATGTGTTGAATATAAACAGTTGGTTTGTTTTGACTGGAAATGAAGTTGTGCACATTTTGTTTATTTTTCGTTTCTTTGCAACTTTTGTGTAGGACATAATGTGCCAGTTAAAGATACATCAAAATATGTTCAAGACGGGCCAACGGGTGAAAATGGGAATGTTCATGAAACGACAGAGACAGAGACCGACGCATGCGGGACCAGGAGGATGCGGAAGTCAATGGCGCGGGAGCATTCAACGAAGAACGACTCTGTTCACCTCCAGAGAAGGGTGGGACTCTTCAGTGGGGTTGCTTTAATTGTCGGGACTATGATAGGTAAATGAATGAATATACTATTAAACTTCATATCGGAATGTCCAACCTGATGTGCGTACACTAGTTTGTGGAAATGATCATACAACCAATTATTTTTTTTATGATCTCAATTGCATTTTTATGCTTTTCAGGATCTGGAATATTCGTTTCACCATCAGGTTTGCTAGTGAGAACTGGGTCTGTGGGTTAGTAGTATTTTCGATTTCGTTTACGGAGATATTATTACTATTTTATTGATTGTTTTCTATAATTGTATGTTTCTTCTTTCAATTGACAATTTGAATTTTTTTAATAAATTTGTTAGTAATTGTATTTTCCGAGGGGAAAATCACTCTAGAAAATTACTTTTTCGGTTCACAAATTACTTTCACTATTGCTTTTTCGAAGAGAATTACAAATTACTTTTTATCATAGAAAAATATATTTTTGACAAGTAATTTCTAATAGAAAAGTAATTTATCGAATAAAAAGTAATTTGTAGTAATTTTTAGTCGAAAAACTACATTCAAAATTACTTTTTGTTCAACGAATTACCTAAAAACTACTTGTCAAATAGAAAAATTTTTTTTGAGTTTTCCCCCCCCCCCCCCCGGTATTTTCACATAATTTTGTAATGGTGAATATTGGCTTATAATTATTCAACACTGAAGTAATATTTTCTTCATAAATTTTACAGGTATAAGCTTTTGTATATGGCTCGCCTGTGGATTACTTTCCCTTTTGGGTAAGTGAAATAAAAACATTTATATTTATTCATATTGTAGAGGAGCAATTTGGAAACAATTAAATTGCAATTAACAAATACATTCACACATTCCGTAATATATTAAGAATATTATATAAATCTTAATTTGCAAGTTTTTTCTACCGGACTTCTGATCGGTTAAGAGATTGAAATCAAAGAAGAGTGGCTCGAGAATCTCGTTAAAAGCCCCCGAGACTCTCGTTAATAGATATATATTACAATGTTTCCGCTAAAGTTTTGAAAGGTGTGACACCATTCTAAAGATAACACGCAGTTTTTCTCCTAAATGAATGAAAAATAATCACGAAAATCGGAATGAAACGCAAAAATGAATATCTACTCTGTACTGAAGAAATTAAACGTGTAATTAAACGCTTCACATAGCCTTTGTCCCTTTGGAAACGTTTACCAAAGGTTATCCTGGACCGTTTGCCATAGACTAATATCAAGCATTTCCATTTTGGTTGTATGACTGTTTTCGTTTTCATGTTCCTACTATTGTGAATACCGCATGATGTACGAAAAGAGCCAGGTTTTTAACGACGCGAGAACTGAAAGTTATCGAAAGTTATTGCTACAATTGTTTATTATTTTAAATATGTAACAGTCTTGCGCTCTTTTCCGGCCAAACCTTAATCAAAACCCACATTATATTCAGCCAGAGTTTGGCGGTGTTTAATAAAATAAAATGAATTCATAATAATATATTTTTTGTATAAAAAATAAAGAATTTCGAAGTGTTGCCTAAAAATAGACTTTGTATTCACAGACTAATTTATAGACGCGATAAGATTTTATTGAATGTTCAATTTCCTTCTCAAAAATACGCATATAAACTGCGTGCAATACTTTCAGAGGAGAAAATCAGATTTAGTTTAATAACGAACGACACTATAGTATATATTCTATTCTATGAAATTTTCTTGTCTTAAACGTGCTGGGGAAACAATATGATCAGGCCTGAACCTCAATATAAAAGTTCAATAAATGTTTTCGAATAAATGATTAATATCGCTAATAATTATTTGTGATGTTCAGCGGATAAGTTTTAGAATAGAAGAAAGATTATGGTATCTCCGTATTCAATTCACATAATTCAATTCACATTCCAAAGCTGCTCCGTAATTTCGTTAATGACAATAAAGCATTTGGACGAATTAAAAATGAGATAGATATTGATTTTATAAATGGATTTGGTGGATATTATTCATTATCAATTCAAAAGATGGCTGAAATGTTAGTTTTTTGAAGGAAAAACGAAATCATACGAAGTTTTCATATACAATTTCATACAATTTGATGGCATAGAATAATCCATTTCAAAATCTCTACACAACACCTATACTTCAATATTACACTTAACAAAATATTTCGAATCTAAGTTGCTTTTTTGCGCCCACGTATTCATATTTATTATTTGTTATGTGTTATTATTTATGGAAAAAATGATTCAATCACCTCCTACGATCCATATTTTAAACAGGTGCTCTTGCGTATGCAGAATTGGGAACTATGAACACGTCGTCAGGGGCAGAATGGGCATATTTTATGGATGCGTTTGGCGCTGCACCGGCATTTCTCTTTTCGTGGGTTTCAACACTTGTTTTGAAACCATCGCAAATGGCCATTATTTGCTTGTCTTTTGCACAATATGCAGTTGAAGCATTCGTCACCGAATGCGATCCACCGATTATAGTTGTCAAAATGGTCGGACTGTTGGCGATTGGTACGGCATATTTTATTTTCATTCTCCTATTCGGTGTTTAAGTGATACTGACTAGGGGACAGACACGATTAAAAAAATAGTGATATTTAGTTCAAAAATAGCAAAATTAGCAGAAATTAGAGAGACTGAAACTTTTTTGTTCCCTACATTTAGCATTGCCAATACGTTTCCTTATGGAGGTTGTTTTGTTCATTTACCGTTATTTGTCAACAAGTCTGTCTATATCAACGCATCGCACTGTACATAGTATATGTCCATAAGAAATACACAGAGACAATGCAAAAAGATCGCAGATTTGTTTACAAACAACAATAAATAAACAAAACAAAAATCTCCATAAGGAATGCATTGGTAATACTAAATGTGTGGAAGAAAAAAACTAAAAAATTAGCAAAAACTTATGGAATTAGAAGAAACAATGGAAAAATCGTTCAAAATAGTTGAATTAGGACAAATTGATACCGTGTCTTGCCCCTAGGATACTGATGATTCTTCTTTATTGCAGTGAGTATTCTTTGTGTGAATTGCTACAGTGTGAATTTGGGCATGGCTGTTCAAAATATCTTTACAACGGCCAAGATGATCGCTGTGTTGATTGTCATCAGTGGTGGTGCGTACAAACTCTACCATGGAAATGTTCAACATTTACAAAATGCATTTAGTAAGCCGGCCCCACCAATCGGCGCAATCGCAGTTGCATTTTACACTGGTCTTTGGGCTTATGACGGTTGGAACAATTTAAACTATGTAACAGAGGAAATAAAAAATCCCAGCAAGTATGTAACTCAGCGATATGATATCTTCAATTCGGGTCACAATAAATTTATGGTATCTCTTAATTTAGGAATCTGCCACGTTCAATCGTAATTGGGATTCCACTGGTAACTTTATGCTATGCACTGATCAACATTTCGTATTTAACGGCGATGTCGCCAGATGAAATGATTGATTCGGAAGCAGTAGCAGTTACTTTTGGCAACAGGATTCTTGGTCCGTTAACGTGGTTAATGCCTCTTAGTGTGACAATTTCTACGTTTGGCAGTGCAAACGGAACACTTTTTGCGGCTGGCCGGTTTGTGAAAAAATAACAATTTGTCCCAAAAATTCGGTATAATAAACAATGTTTATTTATTCACAGGTTGTGTTTCGCAGCAAGCCGAGAAGGTAAGTCAAAACAAAAATTCATTTAGTGAAACAATTAGCTAACCATTAGTCAAGCAGTTAGTGTAGCAATTGGAAATTGAAAAAAATTATGAAAAATTAATATTTATTCAAAAAGTTTAAATATTCGATATGATACCTATTAGTTAAACATTGGGTACAATTAGTCAAAAATTATTAATTTTTTTAATAATTGCTAATTGCTAATTGCTTCACTAATTGCTTAGCTAATTGAAAAAAATTCACTCTCCTATGCCATTTACATCAAACCACCAGGACATTTGCTTGACATTCTTTCGTATGTACATGTCAGACGTCTAACACCTTCACCCGGTCTTATTTTCCATGTAAGTACATATAACATAGTGTATGTGAAATGTTCACTTTATTTTCGCCATACCTCAGCATAAAATTGATCATTGTAATTATTTATTTTTCTGTGTTGTTCTCATTCCACAGTCGTTGATTGCTGCTGCTATGGTTTTGTATGGCACAATCGATTCGCTAATTGATTTCTTCAGCTTTACGGCTTGGATTTTCTATGGCGGCGCTATGGTTGCTTTGATTGTGATGCGGTACACCAAACCAAATTGTCCACGGCCATACAAGGTATTATTTTATATCCACATCGTAATAACAAATTTTTGCCTACACACTTGACAAAATTGGAGAATTTTCCTATGTTTGAAAAAATGTTAAAGGACATCGGTTTTCCACTTCAACGAAAACCGATTATGTATTTGTTGAATACTTGTGAATATTAGCAGCTGCTTGATATCTTCTCAAGTTCAATGTTTATCGATCTAACAGCACTGTGTTTGTTTAACTCAATACATGCACTCTGAAAATTCATTGACCGATATGTCCTTTGTTTCTTTCTTTCCATATTTCAATAGGTACCGATCATCATTCCATACGTGGTATTAGTAATCTCTGCGTATTTGGTCGTTGGACCAATTATTGACAATCCACAAATCGAATATCTGTATGCACTGTCGTTCATATTTGCTGGTCTAATATTTTATGTACCATTTGTCAAATTTGGTATGACACCACGTTTTATGAGTGAGTACTTGGATTCTAAAAGTTCTTATTCTCTCAAAATTCCTAACAGATTATTTCAAAAAATTAAAAAATAATGCATATGAATTTTATCGTTATAGACAAGGTAACGCTGTTCCTTCAACTTTTATTGGAAGTTGTGCCGACAACGACAATGGGAATGTTTGATTAAGAATGAATAAAAAAAAATTTATATAAAAAAAATAACAATAAAATAAAATAAAATAAAACATAATATATATTTTAATGAAAATAAGTATGAAAAAATTATATTGATACGATGATTATCACACTAAACATAAAAAGCAATTAAGAACAAGCACATGAAGATTGACAAAACTTCAATGATTTATGTCAAGAAAACATATATAGTTTTTTACATGTTCAATATTTTCTTTTTGCAAATATTTTATATTAGACATACTTTTATTGTGACAATGAGAAGACTATTTGAATTTCGAAATATAAGTGCATTCAATGCAACAAACAAATGATATGCTACGAATAATTATGTTGTACTTTCGGCAATATGAATAAAATTAGATCGTTTTTTGATTAGTTTTATTGGCAGAAAAGTTGAGTTTTATTTCTTTTTCTTTTTTTGTATTTTTGGATCAACAACACCATAATGTTTAGTAAGTTCGCCAACGTTGTTTTTATTCTTCTTTGTCTTCTTGGTGAAACGATTGACCAATTGGTTGCAGGAAACTGTTGCCAATCCAGCGGAATTTTTTCCAACGGTCCGAATGTAGGCTTCCTCTTTAGCCTTAGCTTTAGCTTCTTTATTTTCAACCTGTAGTTCTTTGTAGTTTTTATAAGCATTTTTTGGCGGTTTAGCACCTAGCTTAACCGCTAAGGCGACTTTTGCTTTCTGTTGATCTTGAAAATTATATCCGGATATACCAAAATTGAAAACTTCATGCCGCACTCGCTTCATATCCAATCCACCTGGTTCATCCCTTTCTTCGCCCGCGCTTCGCTTCTTTTGTGAAAATCTGTTGGTTTTGTCTGACTTTTTTGATTTATGTGTCTCGAAAACAACTGCTTTAAACTCGTTGACCACTAGATTCTTTTTCAAGAGCATCGCTTTTGTTGGAACAATATCTAGTGATGAATCCTCCATTTTCACACTGAAGTATATTCTAATTTTTTAGGTTTGTATTATTTTTATCACGAATCGGGGGACTACATCAGTTTCAACAACAACGTGCTGATTTGACAGATTTTACCGATAAACCGCATGGACGGCCATCATTGAACCGGTTCAACTGTCAATAAACAAGGCCTATACAATAGCTTTATAAATTGAGTGAAAACAACAAATACATAAAATTTATGGAAGAAGACACAACGTCAGAGAATAAAAATAAACATGTCGACGAAAAAAGCAAACTCCAGTGAAAAAGTTTCATTAAAAATGAATTCGAAATCAATTAAAGCCAAAACACAAGAATTTCTATCATTCAGGAAAAAGCTGCAGCCATTGAACGATATATTAAAGGAGTTTGAAGTGAGTATTTGTATAGCACGGACCTTATAGATTTTCCACAAATCTCTAAAGTTGAGGTTATGTGGTCTTAAAACAGTGTTGTGCCACAAATAAAATGATGTCATGCTATAAAATGCTTATGTTGATCGCATGTGACTTCAATTGATCAATATTTTTTTTCCTTTTCTCACATTATATAGACATGTATTCAAAGCGGTGCTGCCATCACTCCATTTTTGCTTGCAGTTGAGAAAATTTTCACAGAATTGCTCAAAACACGTGAAATGGTTACCACTTTAAAACCATCAAAAATCAAAGGTTGAGTTAGCCCACGTTTTTACAAAACTTGAATTTGAAAAAAAAACTTTTCTACCCCATTCGAATAGATGGATATTCTGAAATACAGCATCGTGAAGCACTTCAGAAGCACTATGAAACGGTTTGGAAACATATACTGAATGGAATGCAGAATCCGGATGAAGCTGAAAGTACGCAAGCGTTAGTGACAGCAGTACATTTATTGTCGACAGAGGCGAAATACCCAAAAAATCCTGAATCGAAATCGATGTTGTCGCTAAGCAAGCTCAGAAATATTACACAACAAATGCTTTCGTCTGAAAAACTAAATAATCATCTTTTCGCAAGATTCAAAGAATACGGTTCATATTTGGACATTGTTTATAATTTGTGGAAAATACTGCCAGACATAACGATCAAGGAGAAGTCTCCAAGTGACATTTATGTGCAAAACTATTTGGACTTGATAAATGCCATTCCCATCAGTGCTGAAGTTCAAGAAAATAAGCAACTCTTGTGCTGCAGTGAAGAGTCTTTCGAATTCGACTATCCAGTTGTTCGAAAAAATTTGAATAAAGTATGGGCTTGCATTCTTCAGTGGACAAATGACCTGTCGGAAACTACACATAAACAATTGCTCGTTGTGTTACTTGAGAAAATATTGTGTCACTTGGACAAGCCAATTCTATTGACTGATTTTCTAATGGATTCATTGGATGTCGGTATGTGTTTTGCATATTATTTAATCTTAGAAATGAGCTGTTTGTTAATAATGATTTGTATTTTCCAAGGCGGCCCAGTAAGTTTGCTGGCTTTGCAAGGTGTATTCACACTAATTCAACAACATAATTTGACGTATCCAAAATTGTACGAAAAACTGTACTCAATGTTTGAGCCCGAAATTTTCCACACAAAATACAAAGCCCGTTTGTTTTACTTGGCTGATATTTTCCTCAGTTCTAGTCATTTGCCGGAGAACTTAGTTGCAGCATTCGCAAAACGCCTGGCACGATTGGCCTTAGTTGCTCCACCACAAGATGTTATCACAATCATTTACTTTATTGGAAATTTGATTTTGCGTCATCCAGGTTTAAAGCGAATGATAAGCCATCCTATTCGTGATAAAATTCCAAGCGATCCCTATATAATGGACGAACGCGATCCGGTGCAATCAAATGCAATAGAGAGTTCACTCTGGGAAATTGCATCATTGCAACAAGATGCTATACCGTCAATTGCTCAAGCTGCTAAACTCATTTCGAATCCACTACCAAAGTGTGAATGGAAACTAAGTAATCATCTTGAAGTCGATGAGAATGATGTGAGTAGTGAGATGTTTGTTTTGTTGTTGTGTGTATGTATTTCCTATAATAAGATGATACAAACTAATATTTTGTGGATATTTTTTTATAGCTATTCGATCAAGAAATCTTGAAACGATCCAAAGAATACGCGCTCAACTTTGAGAGACCCCAATCGGCATTAGTACCAAATGCAACAGATGCATTTTCGAAATGCTGGAAACTATTTTGAAGTGATAATCAATACTTAATCTCTAATTCGTAATAACTGCGCTAAATGTCAAAATTTAATTGGTATTCAGCACAGCACGAGTTATAATACGATAAAATAATTTCCTAAAATAATAAAAACATCATTGACACATTGCAATGATTGCAATGAAAGCCCATTCTGTATTTTGTATAAAAAAAGCATAATAAAAATCATAGCTGCACCATGTATAGAGTTTTTGTTTTGCATAACTTCATTACAAATTTTTTTAAGGAGTTTCTGATGGTTTTGGTTTTTGCGCCGCATTTGATTCAAGGTCAATCTCCTTTGATATTTTTTACAAAAAAAACACACAAACTTAAAACAGTCGGATGGCTACTAATAAGGAGGTGTAGTGAAGTTAGCTCCATAAACATAAACATTTTACCTAATATAAAACAATCCATGTCCCAATCCGTCCCAATCAGCTGATTTGATTCGGCTTTATACAGTTTGACATTTCGCTTGAAAGTTGTCACAAATCTACCGACCTGTCAATATTAGTTTGAGTTTTTTCTGCGACGTACAACTGAGAAATCAGAACAAGAAAAATGGCAGCACACAGTGGAGGCGTAGATTGGGCCTCTGTAATTAAACCATTATTAAATTCAGGCTCGCTATCGAAAAACGATTTAAATAATTTAACAAAAACTATCTTAAAATGGTAGGTACAATGAACTTGCTTTGTATTGTGCGTAATTTTTTATTGGACAATTTAATAATAATTGTCTCTTGTTAGAGCTAATATGGCTGCCGTCGAATAATGACTGAGTCATTTAGAGAAAAAATTATCTGTTTCGTCGACATTTCACAAATGAAAGTTTTGATTAGGTTTATTTCGTCATATTTTGAAACTTTTTTTTCGTTCTAGTGAAAACGAAATATTGGAACATGATAGCAGCTTCGATGTATTTTATATGTCGTTTGCTGCCCTTGCTGCAAACAACATTAGTGGACAGTGCAATGCATGTGAGTATTAGGCATATTCTCATCAATTGAAAAAAAAATCGATTTGCGTTGCAAAATATATCGCAATTGCTTTGCAAATGGTTACTTTGTCAAAGACAATATTATACACTAAGAATACATTGCATTGTTTGTATTGTATTCAATGGCGTGCAGACATACTTTTTTTTTATTCATCCAACATAAATGTATAGAACAAACGCAATTTTTTATTTTTGGTATTGCATATCTATGCTATGACTGATTTGTATATTCAATCTGTTTTGCTCTTGTTTTCAGTGTGCCAAAATCAAATTTTGCAGATAACCGAAGCGTGTGGCGTTCTGATTCGTTACATTTTGAACAAATTCGAAAAATCATCCAATTCTGATACAAAACTTCTGTTGCACGCACTTAAAAGTTTGTGCGAAGGCAAAAGTCAAGACCAAGATTTCGACCAAATCATATTTTCATCAATTTTGCGAAATGCAAAGTATCCCGAACACAAGTCGAATGTCACAGGTATTCTATTATTACCATACTTTTTTCCGCATGAAAACATCGACATTTTGTTTTGTTTTTTGACCATGTTACAGGATCGAGCGAAAAGGACAGTCCGAAATCGGAAATGAAGCGTTCGCGGTCGGACTTGTTGACCGTCATCTTACAGCAATTGTCAACGTCAATTGGAAACACAAACGCGGCCAGCTGGAACCCATTGAGTGAAGAAGTAGCCGACTGCACGGTATGTTGTGAATAAAAGAAATGTTTTTCTGCGCTCAATATCAAAACCATTCGCATGACTAATCACATTAGGTACTTTCTTTGGTTTCACAGCAAGTTTTCACGCGCACAAATATCGCATTTATGCAAGCAAATAATGCCGGTGACATAATTTTGAAAGTTTGCTCTTCGCTGCCGGTTCTATCGCGTTACTATGCACGCTATGAAGACAGTGCAATACATGGTAAACCACTGCATTTGCCAGTAACTCACACCGATGCGATGGCTATTAAAAGTGTATTGCCACAGATTTCATCGGACATTTCACTGTTATCATTGGCCATATCATTGCCGATACTGGAACCGTTGACCCCAAACAAAATAAAACAGTTATCCAAATGCGCTATGGCCGCCCTCTACTGTGCGGTTCAGACATCCATTTCTAGCAGTGTTTTAACCATGACAGGGACCGGTTCTCAGAAGTCGCAACAGCAACCAACCTCTGAAAATAAAGTCTCTTCGACAACGGGTATGCCATCCAGTGCATCATCAAAAGAAAACGAAGAAATTTTGTCAAGTGAAGATCACGCTCGCAATATTGTTGATAAAGCATTGGAAATTTTTACCGCCGTCGAAACCATATTCAATACGACGCGATATCACGTGTATTTGAATCATTTGTGCATGGGTTCATGGCTTCTGATCAATGGAATGCAAGGAGCAATGGGTGCTTCTGGAAGCAGCAATACAAAAATATTGATCGCTTCAGCACTAGCACAAGATGAACCAAGTAAAACTAAAACACCAACAGCGTCAGTGACTGGAGCGACCAGTCGAACAAGTGATGTACAAGTGTCGTCGGGACGCGTAAACTTATCAAAAGTACAGCAAGGCTTTGGTGTCTTAAACGCTGCCATCGCGTCACATTGCCTAACACTTTTGAATGAATTAATTGAAGATCTCAAACTTGAATCACGAGCTGGTGATGATGATCCAAATGCTGATAAAATTGAACCATGTGGTTTCGATATTCTTGGCCAATATACGACATTGCAGAGAATTGCTCGTGTTTTGAATTGCGCTACAATGCAGCAATTGCTCACATTCTTGGCCACAGTATCATATCGTAAAGCCTGTTCATTGAAACGAATTAATATCAAGAGTGAAGGTGATGCAGTCAGTTTCAGCGATTCAACAACGTATTTCAATGATTCTATGTCGTGTTCCGAGTATTCCGATACGGAGGAAGAAGAGGAGGATAGTGAAAGCTACTTGGGAACATGGTTTAAGGAAACATTGTCACCAGAAGGAAAAGATGAAGCAACCGAAAATACAGACAACAAATCATCCGAAAATCAACGGAACAGTACATCAATGGTACCTGCTAAAGATGAGCCCCATGAATATTTGGAGTTATCGGCACAAATATTCTCTTTTTTGGACACAACTCTCGGTAGTAATCACAAATATTTAAACAAATACGTGAAGAGCGGCCTAAGTGAACAGCAAATGGCTTTGCTTGCCAACATTCTGAAAGATCTCGATCGGGATGCGTCTCGCGGCGAGGCCGAAAATGCGTACAGCACACAATGGCAAAATGCAATGATTGAATTTTCGGGTGCCATTGGTCGCTATCTACATAATCTGATTTCTGGATCACTGATCAATGAATCATTGCAATCATCACTTTTATTACATTTGGGCGTTTCACCGTGGACCCAAGAGACAGTGTGGCCATTGCAGGTGTATCCTCGGACACTATCAGTTTTAGTTCAAATTCTACTCTTGAAACCGTCACAGGAAAAGGAAGCCGCTTGTTTGTCAGTGTGGCATCGATTAGTGAATACCCTTGTCGACGGCGTTTGTTCATCACAAACCCTTCAAATTGATAGCGGCACTGATTACGAAGATCTCAACGTAGAACATGCCCAACTGTTACTTTTCTTATTTCATTCGTTGAATTTGATGCAAAAAAAATCTATTTTATTGTTAACCGCTGGTGGGGTTATTCGATGCGCTGAAGTTTGCCGAACAATGACCACGGAGAAACCATTGCGAGATCATCAAATCATTTTGCTGTCGCGCTTACTTCTTTTCTTGGAGTATTTGATGAAACATCTGTACAATGCACCAACACCCCTTCTGGAACAAGTTCGATGGAATTTATTTAGCACCATCGCAAATGAGACCACCCATCAGAAACCATCCGAAAATATTGGCTCAAAATCGAAATTGATATCATTTTGCCGTAAAGATATCGAAGATAAATATCGAAAGTATTCACACGAGTATGTATCAGGGGGCGTTCGACCCAAGTTTTATTCGTTGTCGGTGATTGATTCAAAGTTGCAAGAATTCAAATTAGATGGATTGGCATGGAATTTCATTTTGTGCACACCAGATAAACTAAAATATCCATTGCTCATCGATGCACTGATTGATATCCTGGCGATCACCGATATTTGTACGACTAAAATAAACTACACAACTATTTGTTCGGTTCAGTATTGCTTCAGTCTCTGTTGGAAATTGTTGTTGGGTTTACCACCGAGTACACCTCACGTGGAGGCGCTAATGCAGGAGAAAGTTCCAAACTTGCATTCGCTTATGTGGTCAGTTCGTTGTTTGCATCCCATCAACAACTCACACGCTCTAATTGTCAACAGTTTGATAAAGCAAGGCATGTACACACAATCCGCTGAACAGTTATGGAAGAAAATTACCGAGCACATATCCGACACGAAATATAGTATAAAACAAACGACATCTGGTCTGGATTCCTTCATCAAAACGTTCCAGATCGCCAATCCACGTCTTTCGAAAATAATTACATTAGATGCGATTGTCTCGCATTTGGTCGCGATTTATTCGACCAATGAAAACGGAGGCAGGCTTGGAAGCGATCACGGCTCAAAGTCAGGTAGCAATACGTCAAGCGGAGCAAATTCATCGGACTCGGGTAGCATTGCAGAAATTTCAATGTCATCTACATCTGGATCAGATGTGTCCGTTATAATTCTCAGTGGCACTGAATCGAAATCAATTGAAAAGGTTACACCTATTGATGAGGATGCCCCATCCAAGGACCTCATCGTTAAGCTGCTCGACGCTCTGGAAATCGTTAAAGAATGCATTTTGTAAGTAATAGTTTTGGACAAATGAATGAATCGTAGTTTTTAAGCAACTTATATGTATAATAACTATATGTAACGTTTGTTTTCAAATTAAATTTCTGAAGCAAAACAATGTCTGGAAGTTTGAACGGTACAATTCAACCGCACATACTTGAATCGTTGATTGCGTTGTCGGGGTCAAAGCATCCATACTGGAAGGAACTAGCACCGAAATTCACATCGATGTTTACCGGTCAAGATAAAGACGTTATTTTAGTGGAGTGGAAGAAGAATTTACCAATTTTGAGTGAAGAAAATATTTCATCGAGTGCTTTCCCCGTAGAACTTCACACATTGACAGTGATTGAAGCACATTTAGGTGAACTCTCAAAACATGCAGCATACTCGATTTTGTTGTCGATCAAACATACAGCTAAATCGATTTGCAATTTGATCCAAAAACTGGTGTCCGTTTACAAATACGATAATGCAATTGAGGAGCGCATACAAAATGTTCTAGTTCCCATGCTTTTTGATGTACGAACGGAATATTTGTATGATGTGTCGAAGCAATGTTTGCAAACAATGATTAACGGTGGTGGTGCCAGCAGTTCATGCGATACGGACATCTTCAAAATGCTTGCTTCACCAATGATTCACATCTTGAAAGTAAGTTATCGATTGCTGATTGACAGCACAGAGCTTGCTGCTCAAGCAAACCCTACTGGAAACCCATTAGATGAATCGATTTTACAACAAATTTTGTGCTTCTGGGAAACAATGCTCACCAACGAACCGATGGGTGTAAACGCAATGCATAACTTTTTCCATGAGACAAAACAAGGATCTTTAGTGCACGTCCTTCTTTCGTTTACAAATACAACCTTTTCACAAGCGTATGCAACAAAGGTCTTGCAGTTTTTCGAGAATCTCTTCAAAGCGGCTGAGAAGCCGGAATCAGCATTCAAAATTGAAGAACTTTGCGTGTGCATATCTGAATTGGCTACGGTTGAAAATGGTAGGCTGAAAAATTGGCTAAGTCACATTTTACTTGGTCCTAGCTCCGGTTCGGGACTCTTCAGTGTTTCAAGTGTTTCGAGCAATGTCGCAACGCCAACAAATATGGCCACCACTTCAGCGGCAATCCCAAGTATTTCCGATCAAATTTTACCAATCGATAACGATGCCATGGATATCGACTATGAATGTACGAACGCACCAGTTCTACTGGATTACGTAGGTGAGTATCATTTTTGGAGGTTTTACATTCATTTCAAAGCTGTTTGTTGAGTGCAATCATTTTAAAACTATATCGAACGACTTGTACCAGTTTCAGAACCAACAAAAACCGATGATTTTGCCGAGAAAAATGGTCGATTGCTTCAAACACTAACTAAATACATTGTATCAGAGAGTCGAATTGCGCCAAATGTTTCGGCAGCACTTTTCCAAGCTCTGATTCAATTGGGTCAGAATCTATTGTGCCCAGCACAAGAGGCACCAGATTTCACCGATTTGTTACAAGTGATGATTACGTTGGCGGACACATCGCAGGGTAAAGGGCATTCAATGCTATTCAACAGCTCGGTCGACTGGTTGGACATTTCAAAGTCACACATTTTAGAGAAACTGAACTCGGACACAAAGCAAGCACAAAACAAAACTGTAAATGCTTTTGAGAATGTCAGTGCTTTACTCAAATATATGGTCGATTTACTAGAAGGACTCGGCTACAGTGGTAATCGAGCCATTGCAACTTTGTGGGAAGACGAAACACAAGCTGAATTTGATGATTACTTAGATGATCTAGTGAATGAAGATGACGATAGTGCCGTTGAAGATTCAGACGAAGACAGCCTGAGCAATAAACTTTGCACATATTCCATCAGTCAGAAAGATTTTATCAATCAGCATTGGTGGGAAACTACAAAAAAAAATTAAATGCCTATCCCTATTCTTTTTTCGAATACTAATACTAATACCTAGAAACTATTTTCATTCCATAGGTATCATTGCCACACATGTAAAATGGTAGAGAAAGCTGGCGTATGCAGCGTATGTGCAAGAGTATGTCACAAAAATCATGACATTAGCTACGCGAAATACGGAAACTTTTTCTGTGATTGTGGTGCTAAAGAGGATGGTTCATGTCAAGCACTGAACAAACGATCAACCTACCAAGATTCATCCTTAGTAATGGGAATGGGCAGTAGTAATATGGCCAATGAAAATGACTTCACCTCAACAATTCGAAGACGCACCGTAACGCCACCATCTCGTACACACTCGTTGCGCGATTCCAATCGTGACTCAGATAAAGCGACAAAATTAACCGAAATGATTGAATCATCACGTGATATGTTGAAAACAAGTGACAAGTGGAGAGTTGTTGTAAAGTGTCTCTTGGATTTCTTCGAGTATCTGATGCCGGCGATTCAAGAAAACTGTGCGAAATATTCAACCGTTGGCTGTCAGCTTCGAGCAAAGAATGCAATCGAACGACTTCACCAGCCGAACAAATCATTTTCCATCAGTGATTCTCTTATGAACGCAACGTTGGGGAGCCAAGAAGGAGCATTTGAAAATGTTCGCATGAATTATTCTGGTGAACAAGGGCAGACAATCCGTCAATTACTATCGACAAATCTCGTTCGACGAGTTGCGCTTTGCTGCTTATCTTCACCGCATGGAAAACGTCAGCATTTGGCTGTATCTCATGAGAAGGGTAAAGTAACGATTCTCCAATTGTCGGCCTTACTGAAACAAGCTGATGCAGCAAAACGTAAACTGACTCTATCTCGTTTGTCGTCGGCACCGATTCCATGTATTGTCCTATCACTCGCATCAAATCCAGCAAACGAAGATTACTTAGCCGTTTGCGGTTTGAAAGAGTGCCACGTTTTGACATTCTCTAATTCGGGAGCAGTTAATGATCACATCGTTTTGACTCCGCAGCTGGAGACAGCAAATTTCATTAAGCGTGCGATGTGGCTACCTGGGTCTCAAACCAAATTGGCTATTGTTACGGCGGATTTTGTGAAAATATACGAATTAGCAGAAGATACAATTAGTCCACAGTACTACTTTGTCGTCCCCAGCGGAAAGATTCGTGATTGCACATTCATTTGTCAACAAGACTCTTACTACATGATTCTGTTCGCATCATCCGGATACATTTATATACAACCATTGGCCGATGAAAGTTTGGCCAAACATGGAGCCTTCTACATTACCAACACCTTAGAATTGGATCATCCATTGATTAAAGATTCAAATGGTTTAGTTGGAGGTGGTGGGGTTTCAATTTATTATTCACACGTTTTGCAGCTGTTATTCTTCAGCTATTCACAAGGAAAGTCTTTTATGGCACCAATCACCGACATAAATGAAGGTGTGAAATGTGTTATTCAACTTCAAACTGGACCAAACAGTAAGAATTCATCAAAGATTCCACCACAACCGTTATGTCAGTGGACCGAAATTCCGGGCCATCCAGGTCTAATCTGTGCTATGATGCAAACATCAAACAATCCAGTCATTTTTATGCTGCGACCCGATAGCATTGTTATGCAAGAAATTAAGGCACAAAATTCAAAGTCAAAAATTATGGATATGGTAGCCATTCGTCACGCTTCATCGGGTGTTGAAAAAACTACATTGCTCTTGCTGTGTGAAGATGGAAGTCTACGCATATATTCAGCGAATGCTGAAAATACAAATTATTGGCTTCAATCCGAAGTTCAACCCGTCGGAAATCAATTATATTCACCACTCATCTCAAAGCCCTCGAAGAAAAATAAAAAATCTGCTTCGAAAATATCACAAAACTTAAGTGGCAAACCATCATCGGGCACGTCGAACTCACCGCCAACATTTCCGGTTGATTTCTTCGAGCACTGCAACTGTTTGAGCGATATTGAGTTTGGTGGCAATGATTTGCTTCAAATATACAACACGGCCCAGCTGAAACATCGCTTAAACGCCCAGGGCCTGTTTGTCACTTCGACACGTGTCAATGGCTTTACATTGGAAATAACAAATAATGATCAGAATATGGTTATTGTGGGTATCCGTGTTTCAATCGGTGGTCAAGATCCACTTCGAACACCACAGAGTGTAACTATTCTTGGCCGAACAATCAATACAGTTACAACGAAAGCAAGATGGTTCGATATTCCAATGACACGTGAAGAAAGTTTGCAAAGTGATAAAAAACTAAATGTTCAGTTTGGTCCGTCAGCTGATGGTGATAACATCTGCATGTTGGATAGTATAAAAGTATATGGTAAAACAAAGGACGTCTTTGGATGGCCAGAGGAATCTGATGACAATGCGACAACAGTAGCCAATCCAATGTCAAACGTTGTCCCGAACACGAATAACAGCGATGTACTGGCCAATCAAATCACTCCTTTGGACAAAATGATGACTTCAATGTTAGAAGTACTTGATTGCGGACTGTCGTTGCTCGGTTCGTCCTTGGAAGAGAATATTCGCCAGAAGTCGATGAATGTTGCCACAAAACTTCTACTGCATCCACTACCAAACACGGTTCAAACTCAAGCGAAAGGCGTTTTGGCTAATCTATTCGCCAACAAATTAGCCTACAACGCCTACAAAGACAAAGAGATTCTTAGTGAAGTGAACTCAGAGTTGGAGAAATTGAAAAAAGTTCGTGACGTTCGTAACATAGATCCTGAATCATTCTATCGTTTAGTACTGCTGACAAGAAATATAGCTGTTGCACGACCGCAATCATTGGCAAAGATTGCCAATGAAAATCAATTTCCGATAGTTTCATCATTTATGCAATTACTGCATGAGCTCCATGCAATAACACCCACATATGGGGCGCAATGTTCAATTGTTCGCGTAGGTTTATCGCATACTGAATCAATTGTTCATGCTTTGGTCGAAATTATATATGCTTTTGCATTATCAGACCCTAGCCTTATCGAACCAATGACCATTTACTTAGTTAAGCTTCTTGTAAATCCGGTTACAATAATCAGCTACAGCGTGAAACAGGCGATGATCAGACTGCTGCGAATTCGAATCAAGCGCAGAAAGATGGTATCATCAACTCCGCCAATTTGTTCAACACCAACACCATCAACCTCACAGCAAGCTATTGCATCTAACTTCCCGACAACATCGTCCAACGAGAATGCTCCAATTGCTCCAAGTCGCCCGTATAATCCCCAAGTTGCTGCTGCTGCTGCAGCATTGAATGAAGAATTTGCAGGCATGCAAGAGGTTGATGTTATTGAGCCACTTGGTCTAGAAACAGCTGCCGGAAATGCTCAAGTTCTTGCATCTGTTGAAGCGTTGCTGGGTGGACTAAGAGGTTTCCCACAAATAGTCGAGATGCAGCAAGATGGTGACGAAGAAGCAATCATGGACATTGCAATTGCATTGAGTTTGCAAGAACAAGATGGTCACCTGGAAACACTTCAACAAGGATTGGCTAACATTCAAGGAGCTGGTAATCGAGCACTGCAAAGCCTACATGCTCTTAATGTGTCGGCCGGTGAAGCTAGCTTCAATAAGTATGTTCAAAATTTATTTTGATAAATTACTACTTTTCAAAATATTTTTGTTTTCAAATGAATATATGCAAATCTGAAGAGGGCCTGAACATATAGCTTGAAACTGTCATCGTACACATATTGAATGCGTGTTTCGTTTACAAAGACAAGAATACTATGTCATTAATATTTAGTATTTAAAAAATACTGAAGATAACATTGTATAGTATAGCAGTTCCCGTTAAATATGTGTTCTCAATAACAATTTCAAGCTAAGCTTGCATAGAAGATGTCTTCGAAAATATGATTCATTTTAAAATTCCGTCTTGATATAATCATATGTCGTTTCAGTGAGCCAGCCGCATCAGTAGGCTCGGATGATGAATCTGCATCGAACGCCACCGATGCAGCAACCGATGGATCTACATTAAGAACACCTGCTGAGCCAGCTGGTAGCTCTGAAAGTGGTGGCAGTGGCATCGAGAGCATCGGTGGAGCTAGTGGAAGGAGCAGCACGTGTGATCAGATGCATTCATCACCGCCACGCAGCACGGAAATGATTCAGCCCGAGCCATCCACATCGAATGCGAATGTCCAAGAGGAGATTCGCGAAGAGGATTCCGAAGATAACAACGAAGCTGAGATTATTCATAAGCTACACGTTTTAAGGTATGTATATGTGGAGTCTTTTTTATGGAGTATTTGCGGGTTGCGTGCAAATATTTTTATCACGTTTTCGTGAGGTCAGAATCCATCCAAAATTTAAGAAACACTCTTCCGATTTATTGGCATACATTTCGCAGACACCCTGTATACAGAGACCCTCTATAGATCGGTTTGATTTGATGTTGATCATATTTTTCCTCAATTTTCCTAGAGTCTCAATTCTACAACGTATGGTGGACAACATACCAATTTTGGATGGTGCAAATGGTGAACAATCCATTCCATTTATGCAAGTTATTTTGATGTTGACATCTGATTTAGATGGCGAACAAGAAAGCGACCAAACCGTAATGCAAAAGCTTTTGACGGCACTCATTGATCGTCTAGAAATTTCACAGAGCTCTCAACCACCGGATTTGACAACACGATCAGCGAAAACCGAAGTTAAACTGGTCATTCTTCGATTGCTCTGCGTCCTGATGGGAAAAGTAAAATCGTCTTCGAAGATGTCAATTTCGGCATTGATCCCGAGTTCGCAGAAAGATAATGCAACATTCGTGGCATCGACAACAGCCAATGCACTCTTGGAAAGCGGCTGCATTCAGTTCTGTTTGATTATGCTAAAATCATTCTTGCCATATTGGAAGAATGCGTCAGTTAATGAAGACAATGGTATTAGTGTATTGTCTCCAACCGGTTTGGTGGCGTCACAGCAAACAAGCGCTGTGACAGGTGCAATTTCGAATCTACTGAAACCACGTCAATATGGGCCAGAGCCTGACATGGCTCCATTCTTTTCACCGCTATGCTTGAAAGGATGTGCTGATGTATTTGAATTGTATCCAACAGTTTTGACAGAGATGTCAGTGCGATTGCCATATCAAATTTTAAAACTATCAACGAACCACGCACCATCTTACGAATGGTACTCAAGCGTATGCGAGTACTTAACATACACCTTGTGCGAGTACATGATGATTGTGCAATCAGCTATTCTACGTCGATTGGTACGCAAACTTCTACTCTACATCTGTGGCAGCAAAGAAAAATATCGTCAAATTCGAGATATCCATTCCTTGGATTCACACATCAAAATCATTCAGAAATCGAGCGAAACTGCATCCACCCAATTAAACAATGTTCAGAACGCCAATCCGGTTTTCACATACGATTCATTGGTAGAATTAACTGAACATTTGCGGGCATGCCACGAAGTTGCCACACTTCGAACTGGAAATTGGCAGCGTTTCTGTTTGTCACACGTTTACGTTTTACCATCTCTACTGCGAACTTGTCTACTACTGGATGAAGGCGTATCGCCAATCATCTTGCAATTGCTTCAATCAGCTGTTTGCAATACTTCGACTTTCAATGAGAATAAACCGGAGACCAAGCAAGTGATGATGAAAGTAGTTCGACAAGATCGGGAGCGATCTGAGGAGAGTGAGTGTTCAGCCGATTCGAAATTCGATCCAAGTCAATGTGCGATCTTGGTTACACAGATCTTTAGCCAAACTTCAGCACAATTGTTTACGAAATTTATAAAAATATTTCTACTCGAAACGAATATTACATCGATCCGTTGGCAAGCTCATGGATTACTCTATGCATTTTACGAAAACAGCAATACGCAACAGAAAGAACGTCTTTTAAATTGTATGTGGGAGCTGTGGTCACTTTTGCCAGAATATGGCCGACGAACAGCCCAATTCGTAGATTTGCTTGGCTATTTAACTCTCAGCACAAAGCACATCGATGCCAAGTTACCCGAATACATGGGGCTGGCGGTTTCTGTACTGCGACAACAAAATGAATTCCTATCGAAACACCCTAATGCACCAATTTATACGGCTCTGAGTCACGTACTCGAGTTAGACGGTTACTTTTTGGAATCGGAACCATGTTTGGTGTGCAACTGTCCAGAAGTCCCAATGACAAACATCAAACTCTCTTCCATCAAAATCGACTCCAAATTTACCACCACAACAACCATCGTCAAACTGGTTCAATCGCACACAATTTCAAAGATCATTTTGCGCATTGGAGACTTAAAGCGAACCAAGATGGTGCGAACCATTAACATTTACTACAATAATCGATCTGTGCAAGCTGTGGTCGAACTCAAGAATCGCCCATCAATGTGGCACAAAGCGAAGAAGGTGAATCTCTCATCCGGTCAAACAGACGTTAAGATTGAATTCCCATTGCCAATTACGGCTTGTAATTTGATGATTGAATATGCCGATTTTTATGAAACGGTCACCAGCTCAAGTGAAAGTTTACAATGTCCAAGATGCAGTGCAGCTGTTGCCGCAAATCCAGGTGTATGTGGAAATTGTGGTGAGAACGTTTATCAGTGCCATAAATGTCGTGCAATCAACTACGATGAAAAGGATCCATTCTTGTGTCATTCGTGTGGATTTTGTAAGTACGCAAAATTCGACTACAGTTTGTATGGTCGTGCCTGTTGTGCTGTTGATCCAATTGAGTCGGCCGAAGATCGAGCGAAAACAGTACAAACCATCAACGTTTCTTTAGAAAAGGCCGATAGAATTTATCGCACTCTCCAAGGTGTTAAGCAAATTCTCGAATTGCTTGTGCAAAAAGTGGCCGAGCACAAATTCGATCGCGTTGTTGATGAAAATATGATTGGCAATATTGTATCATCGTCTCAAGTGAACAAAGTAATTCAACTGTTAGCCCAAAAATATTGTGTGGAATCGAAAACTTCATTCGAGGAGCTAAGCAAAATCATACAAAAAGTTCAAGCTTGTCGTCGTGAATTGGTTGCATATGATCGCAGCCAGATCGATTCACTCGTAACATCAACCAGTGGTGATTCGCAAATCGAAAGCATCAAGGCATCAAAACCCACAAACTGCTTTGGCTGTGCACTTGCATCAACTGAACAATGTTTGACGTTACTTCGTGCTATGGCTGTCAACATGGAATGCCGCACGGGTTTGTGCAAACAGGGTCTTGTTGAAGAACTCGCACAAAACAACTTACGGCGTGGAACTACACAAATTCAAGATGAGGTAATGTTGGCATATTCATCATTTATATGTAATACAAAAAAGAGCCTAATGCAAATTCATTTCTACAGGTACGCAACCTGCTCTGCTTATTGACAAAAGAGCTGCCGGACCCAACACAAAATCTGTGTGATTTGATTCATAATCGTGTCAAATTGGCATTAAGTGGCATAATACCATTGGCCAATATCGATACGGCAGTTCGGCATGAAATGGCATTGCTTGAATCGCTCGTCTCGCAAAATGATTCATGTTGGGAACAAAAGTTACGTGTCGTGCTGGAGATTTTCCTAATGGCTTGCAGGTAAGTCCGGTTATCGTCAAGATTTTGATAAAAAAAATTACATCACCTTATTTTTATTAATGATAAGTCTGAGCAATGAATGATCAATAACTTGACAAAAAAAATCTGTACAGAGATGCTCGTGGACCACCAGCTGCAATTCTACAGCCTTCGCTACGAATTTTGGAGAATTTGATTGCACCGAAGACGATTCCAACGAAGCAACCGTCAGATGATGGTTATGTCGTGAAAGTGCCAAGCGATGGACTTATAGTAAATGCTAAGAAATGGTTGCAAGGTGACAAAATGCACTCATACGATGCATGGAAAAACAGAATGCCACAAACAAGAGAGAAGTATGATTCAATCCAACTGGAACCACAACCAACGGCCGAGCAAAAATCATTGCGTTCGTTTATTTCGATTTTGGAAGAGAAGCGTCGCAATGATCATTATAAGTTCTTGAGTGAAAAGTATGGACGAATTTGGCGCCGTAAAGCACTATTAAAATCTTTTAGGCCACGCGACTTAAAGCTAACTGCTTCGTGGCTTCAACCAATACTCTTCAATTCAAATTCACGCATGGCTCGTCAACTGGCTTGCGCTTTAATTCCATCTCTGATTAATAAAACACATGAACGCAAGAAGGAGATGCTTGACCTACTTACCAGTTTCTTGAAATACATCGGTGAGGCTGGTGAGGCAAGTGAGGAATTCTTGATTTTATACCGATGCTTAGCTGAAGATACACCATGGCGCGAATACCTTGTTTTAAAAGGCGTTCTCACGCACATTGCCGATCTGCTTAAAATTGAAATTGAAAAGATTCATCGCTTGGAGGAAACAACACTTTCATCGGATCTGGCCCAAGGATATGCATTGCGTCAACTGGTTGAATTGCTTGCAATGTTTTTGGATAAGCCAAAAATCCGTCAAGTTTACAAAGGGAAGTTGCTCGGACCAGTGTTACAAGGATATTTATCGCTTCGTCGATTAGTTGTGCAGAGAACGCGTTTAGTTGACGATGCTCAAGAGAAGCTGTTGGAAATGTTGGAGGAAATGACGACAGGAACAGAGGAAGAAACCCGCGCATTCATGTCTGTTTTGATTGATACAGTCAGTGATACACCATTAAATGACATTAAAACACCAGTCTTTATATTTGAACGTCTCTGCTCAATAATTCATCCCGAAGAAAACGATGTGGGTGAATTCTTTTTAACTCTGGAAAAAGATCCACAACAAGAAGATTTCTTGCAAGGTCGCATGCTTGGAAACCCATATCCATCAACCGAAGCTGGTCTGGGTCCGTTGATGCGTGATGTCAAGAACAAAATCTGCACTGATTGTGAGCTAGTGGCACTTTTGGAGGATGACAACGGAATGGAATTACTTGTGCAGAATAAAATCATTAGCTTGGACTTGCCCGTGAAAGAAGTGTACAAGAAGGTCTGGCTAATAGAAGGTGGTGAACGTGACACTATGAGGATTGTTTATCGAATGCGTGGTTTGCTTGGGGATGCAACCGAAGAGTTCATTGAAACGCTAAACAATAAAACTACCGAGGAAGTTGACAATGAAGCCTTGTATCGAATGGCAAACGTTTTGGCCGATTGTGGTGGATTGAAAGTCATGCTGGATCGTATTGGCAGCCTAACTAATGTGACACGATCACGGCAATTGCTCCAAGTTTTACTGAAATTATTTTTGTTAGCAGTAAAAGTTCGACGATGTCAAGAGGTTTTATGTCAGCCCGAACTTAACGCTATCAATACCCTGCTAAAAGTACTTCAGATGTGTTTGCAAAGTGATAGCGATTCACAGCAATCGGCTGTCACTGAACAATTGCTTGAAATTATGGAAACAATTTTAAGCAAAGCAGCAAGCGACACACTCGACTCATTTTTGCAATTCTCTCTGACATTTGGTGGGCCAGAATATGTTACAGCACTGATATTCTGCACAAATTGTGCAAATGTTCGCAATAATCCATCCGTTCTGCGACATTTGATAAGAGTTTTAGCTGCACTGGTGTACGGGAACGATTTGAAAATGGCATTGCTTTGTGAGCACTTCAAAAACACTCTTGATTTTTATAAATACGATACAGAGCATATTACCGAAGATGAATTCAAAATGGAACTGTTCTGCGTCCTAACTAACCAAATTGAGCATAATTCAATTGGCGGCACTTTGAAAGACTACATAATGGGACTTGGCATCGTTGATAAAGCACTGGAGTATATCACGTCGAATGCACCATGTGTTAAGCCGACATTATTGCGTACCGATTCAGACGAGTTAAAAGAGTTCATTTCGAAACCTTCCTTGAAGTATATTCTGCGATTCTTGACTGGTTTGGCAACGAAACATGAAGCAACCCAAGTGGCAGTGTCTAAAGACATCATACCGATTATTCATCGTTTGGAACAAGTTTCCAGTGATGAACACGTGGGAAGTTTGGCTGAAAACCTCTTAGAAGCATTGTGTACAGATGCAGGAACGGCTCAGAGGGTTCAAGAAGTGCGAGATTTCACCAGAGCCGAAAAAAAACGATTGGCAATGGCAACACGTGAAAAACAATTGGATGCATTGGGCATGCGAACCAATGAAAAGGGACAGGTGACAGCAAAAGGATCAATTTTGCAGAAAATCGAGAAGCTGCGTGAAGAAACAGGCCTAACTTGTTTCATTTGCAGGCAAGTTCCTCTTTCAGAGTAGCTCTGGTCCGAATGCCAATCATTACATTCACGACACCCAAATTGGTTGGTTGAATTTAATCAAAAACTAACATTCATTTTTCTTAATTTTCTATAGGGAAGGCTATGCATGTCAACCATCTAAAGTGCTTGGTATCTATACGTTTACAAAGAGAACAAATGTTGAAGAATTTGAGCTGAAGGCTCGAAAAACTACAGGCTACACTACCGTAACGCATTTCAATGTAGTTCATGTCGATTGCCACACATCCGCTATTCGCAATTTGGGACGAGGCAGAGACGAATGGGAAATGGCCAGCCTCCAAAACGCCAACACGAAATGCAACGGTCTTCTACCACTCTTTGGTCCTGATATTTCGGAGATAAATTTCCAAAATAGTATTAGCCGTCATAATGCGTACATGCTAGAAAGTACTCAACGTTGTGAGATCAGTTTCGCCAACAATATGCATGACTTGAAAATGCTTCTAATGCGATTTGCGTTCGAAAAGAGTTTCCATGAGGATTGTGGAGGCGGCGGACCACAGTCGAACGGCGCCTTCCTGCCATATCTACTCCAGTATAGTATTTACACCTTGCTTTCATCAAGATCAACGCATGAAAAGGCATTGTCGACATATCTCGAACAGCCAGTTTCAGATCGTTGGCTTGCTAGTGCATATGAAGTCGAAGGTCCGTTATTCCAAGTAACGTGTTCCATGGCTTTGCATAGTCCAACGCTTTGGAATCGTCATCGCATTCAGCATCTCAAACGTAAGAAAAAAAATTTCTTCTACCATCGATTTGTAGATTTAACGATTCACAATATTTCTAAACCGCGCATTTATATTATATTTCCAGGTTTATTGGTTATAGCTCAAGCCAGACACTGTAGCCGAAATGTTGCTTGTAAAACACTCAGTGGATCTGATCGACAAGCGAAAGAGTATTTGGTCTATAAACCGTATTTGATGACGTGGTCGATGGTTGATTTAGTGTACTGCACTATGTTCAAAACTGTCAACACTCCAAAGCCTGAAGATTGGCCCATTTCACTATTCGACTTCATTCGTCGCAATGATGAGGCTTTGATGAAGTCAACTGAATCAGTTCTTGAGGCATTCACTGTTGAACATTTACCATGCACTTCGTTTGGTGAATTTTGTGACGTTGCTGGTGAGTGGAAAGTGTAAGATTTTCATTTGGAGTACAAAAAATAACTATAATTTATTAAAATGAATTCTAGGTCTGCTCAACGATATCGAGAATCCGGATGAGTTTTTGAACGAATTGATCCAATCTCTACCCTAATGAGAACCATGGACTATGATAAACGATAATAATCTTACTAAAATATTCACATTTATCGCACGAATTTCGCTTTTAATAATAAAGATTTAATATCTCATATTTTACCACTGTATTTCATCCAATAAATTCGTGTAGTAAAACTAATTACATGTTTTTATTAGTTACAAAAGAAGTGTACATCAGCTAACCTATTGCTTCTCTTCTGTTTTCTCTGATGAATTCTCATCAGCTTTTTGGTTCTCGTTATCATCTTTAATAGCGGTATGTTCGAATTGCTCAGTTAATTGGTCAATTGGTTCTCCTTTGGATGTAGTCGTTTCTTGTGATTCAGCATCTAGTTGAGCATACTTCTTTCGCCGATATTCTTTCTTTGCCTCATCAAGTAAAACGTTATGAATGAAATTACGATTTACACTTTGAGATGGTTTTAATAAAGGAAATGGATTGCCACGAAGCTCAAGCACTGCACGATCCCAGTATGTTATATCTGGATAAACTTTGGGCGCTTTGTATAATCGTGTATATGTAAGTGGACAGTTCTGTAGGCGAGGTACAATCACTTTGAATAATTTATGGATGTACTGCTTCTCTGTGATCCAAAAGTTAGCCATTTCCATTGTGGGTCCGTGCCGATCGCCGTGTCGAATGGCATCCGATATCAACTGTTTTTGTTATTGAACAAATTGAGGTTATGTGCATTAAACCGAAAGCCATAAATTTTATCTAAAAAATACTTACCCTTTCAGCATAGCCGCGTGATTCATCAGCTCTTGGATAATACAGTTCAATCCGTTCGTATTTAATCAAAGCTGTTACGCTTTCCCTTAGCCTGTCCATTCTTCCCATGGGACCTTTCATACTAGGCATTTGTCTTCGCTGAGGCTGGATCTTGAATCGAAGTTTCGATACTAATTTTGTTATTTCTGCCTGGTTCATGATGAACTTCGCTCTATTCTTGGTAATAATGCTATGAAATAAAATCTTTTAATTTTATTTTATAAATCACTTTTTTTTCCTTTTATATTATTGTGTTTGAAATGTGATTGGCGAATTTTTTGGTATTCAATTGTCAAAATTTGACAACCGTATAAGGAGTAATGCGTTCACAATGGAAAAAAACTATAACTATACATAAGGAATGGAATCAGTAATCATACTATAGCCTGATTAATTTCTATGATAATTAAGTGATTTTATTGCAAATAAATATTTTTACTTTTCGTTGGTCATTTAATTTATTATTTGTTTCCAATTTGAACCAATTGAAATCGCACTTTGTCAGCATTAGACGCATTCACCATCATTCAAATGTCATTGTGAAATGTTTTCGCCATTTTTAATGTAGCATCATTGTCAAGTATTTTTTCCGATTTTCTAGATAGACATTGACTTCATACAGTCGGAAAATTATTTTCTTAAGAAAATACCACATAAAATATATTTGAAAGTGGCATTTTGAAAATCGCTATGGCCCTGCGTACATATGGTGATAAACCATTGAGTTTTCAATTGGAGGAAAATGGAGAATATTATTATGTCGGATCAGAGGTATAATAAACACATAAGCGGCAAATCGAAGTTAAACACTCAATAAATGATATTTTGTCATTGGTCCATACATTTCAGGTTGGAAATTATCTGCGACTATTCCGCGGTTCTTTGTATAAAAAATACCCTGGAATGGCACGGCGAACATTGACAAATGAAGAACGTAAACGTTTGATTGATTCCGGTTTGAGCAGTCACATTCTGGCCAGTTCGGTGTCATTATTGAAGGCAACTGAAGTTGATGATATCATTGCCGGGAATGATGACAAATATAAGGCTGTCTCTGTACATTCAACCGATCCTCCACTGCGCGAGAGCAAATCAAATAAAAAGCCCACATCGTGGGTGCCAACCATGCCAAACTCAAGCCATCATCTAGACGCAGTACCACAGGCAACTCCAATTAACCGGAACAGAGTACACTCGAAGAAGATTCGAACATTCCCTATGTGTTTTGATGATACAGATCCAACTCTGAACTACGAAAATGCCAATCATCCAGAAGTGTTGGTACCGATTCGGTTGGACATGGAATTGGAAGGTCAAAAACTTCGTGATACCTTCACATGGAACAAAAATGGTACATTCAAATCAGAATAAATTAAATTTAAGTTAAAAAATCAACTAAATGAAAACCTTTGTTCTATTTTAGAATGTATGATTACCCCAGAGCAATTCGCTGAAGTGTTGTGTGATGATTTGGATATGAACCCAGTTCCGTTTGTTCCGGCTATTGCAGCGGCAATACGACAACAGACAGAAGCATTTCCAAGTGAACCGCATATCATAGAAGATGGCAGTGATCAACGTGTTATTATCAAATTGAATGTGCACGTCGGAAACACATCACTCGTTGATCAAGTCGAATGGGATATGTCAGAAAAATCGAACAATCCTGAAGAATTCGCAATGAAACTATGTGCAGAATTGGGATTGGGTGGTGAATTCGTTACCGCTATCGCCTATTCAATTCGTGGTCAACTTTCTTGGCATTACCGCACATACGCATTCAGTGAGGCTCCATTGGTCACCGTTGAAATGCCATTCCGTGGAACAAGTGACGCCGATCAGTGGGCACCATTCCTGGAAACTTTAACTGACGCTGAAATGGAGAAGAAGATTCGCGACCAAGATCGTAACACACGACGAATGCGCCGTCTCGCCAATACAACCCCCGGGTGGTAATCTGGCAAATTGAACTAAAAAACGACATACATTCAATAATTTTGAACCTCTCATTAACGTATAATTTTCCAAACAAATCAACATTTTTATTTTAGGACATAACTCTACAGTAATCGGTGTTTCATAAAGAAAATAAATGGTTGACAAATCGAAAACCAAAAACAAAATTATTTTGTGTTGTGGTGATTTACAATGTTGAGCCGACTTAATTTATTGTACAGTAGATGGCGTTATAAATATCAATTTCTATTATTGTAAAAGAGTTCAACTAGATATAGTCACAGTCTATTGCTGTCTCACTTAACCTGATACAGAGAGCCTGATGCTATTTTCGTTCAAAATGGCACGTAAGCACATTTCTCCTTGTTATTTATACTTTTTACGAATTCATTCGCTGCAGCCGGTCTCATTGTCTCGCCATTTCGTTGAAGACACCGAGAAGGAGTGAGTGAAATAGGTGTCATGTGAGGCTGATGCATTTCCCCACTCACCCTAATACGTACTTACCAATGTGAAAAAATACGAATCGACAAACTGTAGTGACGAAAAGAAATCGTGCCGAAACGTGTTCATTCGTGTTGAGTAATTCTTAGAGATTGCAAGCAATTTATCAAAACGGAAAAGAAACACTGAAATAAATAAAAAAGGAGAAGAAACAATTGGCGATTTGAATAAAAATATAACTTTCGTAAAGAGAGAATGACATGTGAATGTATTTAAGTTACAAATACACCGAACGTACACGATTGAAACAAAGTGAATTTATCATTTTTTGTATAAATACAGCAAAGCAAATGCAAAGTGGGTTCACTTAAACTCGCGCATTGCTAAATTAAATAACGCTGTTGAAAACATTCATAAGTTGCACAATCAACGAATCAAAAATATATTACAATAATCAACGATGACTTTTCTACGGTGCATTGTTCTGGAATTTTCCATTGACGCAGCAATGAAAAAGTGAAGTTTGTGTGTTTACGTTCCTGCCCAAAATAACTGCAGGTCTCATTTGTACATACTGAAATCAATTGCAACCATTTTTACGGGGGTTTTCAGCAAAAAGTAAAAAATACAAATATTCAAATACGTAGTTTTCGGCTTAACACGACATTTATCGATTTTCTCGTTCACACAACTCGACCACCAAATCAAGCAATTTATTTGCTATTCGACGCATTCATAAAAGTCTGTGACTGGAACATTTTATACAGTGTCTGTGTGCGTGTGAGTCTCAACAACAGTTGAATAAACTTATTCATATCAAGATACGAGTGCGTTGCGGTACAACTGGATAAAAAGCGCATTTTGCATGAGATAGCTCTTCAATACGTATTGAAAACGGCGCAACCAATCAGATTTCACCGTAACATTTTACTATCAAAAGGCGACGATAAAAGCAACCAACACGACGTCAAATCGCGAATTTAGCATATATTTTTCACATTGTGCAAGATGGCTTTTATGATGCCATTGATGAAAAAACAGTACGGAGATTTGTACAAAACAAGTCGTTCGCGTAATCCGTCTGAATCGAATAATTCGAATCCATGTCGATCACGAAAAGTATCTGAAACGCGTTCCGAGTGTTTATCAACATCGCCGAGTACAATGGATTACGGAGTGCATCGCAGCTACATGAATCGCAATAGTTCACGTGCATTTTTACGTACATCATCGCGCACATCGCAGAGTTCGCTCACAAGCCCCACAAAGAACTGCAGCCCACCAAAACCGTCGGCTGAAGGCAGTCAAGGCAGCCTCAATAAGTTTGACAAGTTTCATATGCGGCTGGTGGACAAATTGCGTAAATCGTTTGGTAAAGGACGAACAGAAGACAGGTCCTGAGACCAAAATGATGACGATGATGACTTAAATAGCCTGGGACTTGATGACGAAACGTTATCAGAAACTTTAGTTGCGAAAAAAACACTAGCATCATCTCATCAAACTGATTCAACAACAATTAGAAAACCCCTGAAAAAACTATCAATTTCATCTGATTCATCGGTTATCACATTCAGCGATAGCAACGACGGTGATCTAGGGAACTCTGACGCCCTACTCCAATCAAAACCACCATTACCTACGACAACACATCGAAATCGCAGTCGAAGTATGGAAACAGCATCTATTAAGGTGACCCATCGACGTTCATTGTGGAGTCGACACTTCAGTCAAAGCAACAGTGTCCACGATTATGCTGAAGCTTCAAAAGTTAAGAGGTAAATTGTAAAGCAATGAACGCAACATTAAGTGTGAAGGAAATTTAAATGTTCGCAAATCAAAAGGAAGCAAATGGCAACAATATTTTGTGCAACAATATAATAATCGGTAATAATTCATACATAACATGCCCACAAAATAACGCTTCGTGTTTGCCCACAAAAGCAGTGTTCCCGATTCGATCACATGAAAAACGATTGCCAACTAAATCAAAAAATTGAAAAAAGAAAACAAATACAATATAACAAGCAGTTGGATAAATGGGCTTGGAAGAGAAGTAAGAAGTTTAAGCTTTGTTACTTTGTGGCAATAGCACCAACTAAATCAAAATATATAATGTAAAGAAATTATATTTAGAATATGTTGACGTATTTGAACTCTTTTTTTCACACGCAATTCAAAAGATTGAAACTAAAAGTCATAAAAGTCATTTGACAACTGTTTGGCTAAAAAAGGAATGTGAAGCATACGTTTGTATTATGTAATACAAAAATTAGCACAATGAAAAAAAAGAGTTCACATTTACAGAACAATCAAATTAAATTACTATTCCAATAAGAGATCATTTTTTTGTTATTTTTTATGTTTAAGCTGATGATTTCAGTGTTGACTTATCACGAAATGCAATTTAACAACAAATATATGAAGAGAAAAAAACTACGAAACTACGATCCATTCCTATGGTAGTTCAAAATATATGAAGCAATTTTCAATATATTTTCCTGCAGTGCAGTGACGTTAAAATACAGTGACGATAATTACATACTAAACAGGTCTGTGTTTGAGCTGTTCATAATGTGAAGTACTTCAGAAGCGATTGCTAGACGGAAATGATATGGTTGATTTTCTATCGCATGTCATGCACTATTCAGAATATCTGATGTCATTTTTACTTGACTGCGTTTAATTACATGTTTTTTTTTTCAACCGTTGTGTGAGTGAATCAGTCAAAAGCAGGACTACGCAAACAACGTGGATAACGCTCATAACATTTATGACGAGTGCGTGCCAATTTCACAATATTATTGATTGCTAAACAGGTGTTCAGTTAATGAGCTTTATTGCTTCTTCATCCCAAGCAAACCACTCGATTAGATTCTGTTTTTTTGTTGCAGTTATCCGGCAATGATCATTTTAACCCTTTGATGCACAATTTTTTGTTTTTGAATCATTTTGATATATGTTTTGTGCCATGATAAATAGAGAAAGACTTCATACTTAGATTTTTGAAAAATTGCGTATTTGTCGAGAAAATCGGAAAAGAGTCCAAAGTGTCAAATCACTACAAAAGCTTGAAAAAATTAAATTTCATAAAACTAATGATGCAGAAAGTTAAATTGATGTGTTTTGGTCCAACGAGACCTAATTTGACAATTGAAAAGAATGAACAAACCCACAAGATAAGAGGAGGAAAAATGTGGAATTCTGCTATAATTTCGCAATTTTTTTACAGCAGTACATGAACAGAAAAAACTTTCCATTCAGCCAGCCAATTGTAGCATGTAAAGTATCAAATGAAAGCTAGTTCAATTCCCTACATTTGTTTCCAAACGAGAATGCAAATATATTCAGTGGTTTCATAGCTATAGCGTCTGGCGTATCTGATTACTTTAGGAACTATCTAAAGGGTTAATGTTCAACATTTATTTTCATTTGTGTAACAAAAGGAATCAAGAACAAAATTATTGCCTTACCAAGACCGTGTGGTTTTGCTAGCCTTATTTGATCTTATCAAGTAGTATTTTTTAGTAGAGAAATAATAATACAAAGAATAATTTTATTTATTTTCGCCAAATTTCATATTCGACCAACGAATGAATTCAGACGCAGTTAATTTTGAACATTTAAAAAAATGGTCATGTGCTAATCGAATCGCATAGTTTCGATGTGGCCGTTTTACATACAGAGTTGATATTCGACTGTGTTCAATCGATTATTTAATTGATTTCATTCAAAACGAAATCAAATAACTGCCAACATTTCCGAAATGAAAT